AGAGACACTCACAGAGACTCTCCCTCACACACACACACACAGAGAGAGACACTCACAGAGACTCTCCCTCACACACACACACACACACACACACACAGAGACACTCACAGAGACTCCCTCACACACACACACACACAAATACTCAATGCTTCGTTCCCATTATGTGTTTCATTCTCACACACCATTCATGTTGTTTCTACCCACCACATTCTCACATATTTTATGATCTGACATTGATTCAGGCTCTGATGCCTGTCTTCAAGTGTTTTTAAATGTCTCTCAGCCCACAGAGAAGCCAGGGTCCAAAATGAACACAAAATTAAGGTCCAAATGCAAGTAAAAATCACCAATTGGCTGGTAATTTGATCAGGATCTCTAAGATGATGCCTGCTTTGTAAGAAGCATCATCTGAATCTCACTAGTGACATTAATTCAGTTCAAATCAAAGGCATACAAATCAATCTGCAAAAAAAAAAAGAACCACCCAAATGTAAATATAACGAACAAAATTGTATTTCAATTAAAAAAAAAAAAAAGCAAAATATAGTTTTTATATTTAGTTGTTGAGGAATATTTATTGCCTGTGAATTTTCTTCTTTTTTCTTTTTTGCTTGTGTATTCTCCTCATATTAGTTCATTTTGGACCCTGTTCCCAGCATGCCTCAGTCCCTCAAGCCTGTCCATTTATACACCCACAGATTATGTATTTATTTATTTATTACAGATGTATTCGGACTGACCTGTATATGATACAGAACTTGTTAACCAGAAATATGAGTTTAAAGGAATAGTTCACCTAAAAATATAAATTCACTTCATCTTTGTTTATTTTTTATTTTTTTACAATTTTGATTTGATACGTCTAAAATGTAATATAAGTAAAAAATAGTCAAATATTTTCCTTGCACCTTATAAAGATGTGGGTTTTCAATACAGTTTGTTGGCATTTTATTTTATATATAATAATAAAAGATTATCCTTTTGCATTTATACTTTCAATTTTTATTTTTATTTTGAGTAAATTTTAGTAATTTTGTGATGTGCTTTTGTCATTTTTATTAGTTTTTTTAATTATTATATTTAGGTTTAATTTATTTTTACTTTAGATTTGGTTCATTTTAGTTTTCATTTATTTCCAGTTAGTAATTTATTAATTTAATATATCAGTAGTTTTAGTTTTGATGAATGATAACCCTGACAAAAATTATATAGTTAAAAAGAATTGTATTAAATTAAAATAAAAAATTATAATCATATAGACTACAGTTTTGACACTTTTGTGTAATTTTTGTCAGGGTTATTATCATTCATTAAAACTATTATTGAAACACTTAGCTACATGGTAAAATAGAAATTGTATTTGAAGTGACGTATTTGAAAAACAGACAAAGATACAAGACTGTGTACTTACAGACTTTGAGGGAAAGAACTACAATCCCATGAACCATTGCGAATGACATAATCAAATTTAAAATGATTGTGAAATATAAAACTATTCATTTTAAGTTGTTGACCATATCCATAGAAACACACACACACATATATATATATAATCATTTTCATTAAGTGAAATTAAGCTGAAATAAAATATAAATATTATTTGAAAAACTTAGTTTTAGATGCCTTGGCAATGTTTCAAATTTTCATTTAGTTTAAGTTGAAGCATTAACATTACTAACTGGAAATAAATAAAAACTAAATCTGAACTAAAAATAAATTAAACTTAAATATTTCTTTAAAAAATTATAAAAATGACAAAAAGCACGTAAAAATATTAGTAAAATTAAAATTAAAATTAAAATTAAACAAATTAAAATTGAAAAAAGCTACTTAAAAGAATACTTTGTAGCATTGTATGTAAAAGAGCAGCTCTGACATTGTACAAAACATCTGATGTTGTGTTCAGTAGAAGAAAATAATATGAGGAACATCAGAACAACATGAACTTGATTTTTTGTGTGAACTGTTCCTTTAAAAGCGCTGAATCTGTGGCTGTGTGCACGTTCACTCGTCTGCATCACGCATGATCATGTGTGTAACCCGTTGGCTGTGCTGCATGGCTCGTGTGAAGTGTGCTGTTGTGCCCTGATTGCAGAGCATGCGTTGGTTTGCGGCTCCTGGCGGCCCCTGGTCCAGACCCAGGGCTCAGAGCGAGGGCCGCGGTGATATCATCAGCAGCTCGGCCAATCACAGGCAGCCCAGACTGAGCACTGATCTCACTCACACACGGCCGCACGCTGCTGTAAGTCAACACACGCATGATGCATACTAGTTAGTTCTAGGATGGGCCCTGTTCAAACTGAAGATTTCCATAGAAAATCATTTTTAACCTGTCTATGTTTTTAAATTTCATACCTTTTCCAATAAAATTTGAAATTTTTAAATCTAAAACATTATATAACAGTAAAAAGTAATGAAATATTTTCCTTACACCTTAAATATATGTGGGTTTTCGTATCATAATCATTATTTACAAAGATGTCGTTAAGCATATTTTAATTAAAACTATAGCATTTATATAATTATTATAATTTATATAGTTTTATATATTTAAAAATATGTATAATTTAAAAAAAAAGTATGTCTAATAAATATTTTATTTTTATAAC